GATAAGTCGGTACCGTGTGGACGCTCTAAAAATTGCAACGATTTCATTCCGACTTAAAACTGCGCAGACAAATCGTTGTGAAAACTGAGCGTGTGGACCGGGCTTTACTATATGAACGGATCTTCATGAAATTTAGAACATTAGTAATGTAGATCAAAACGCCTGAATAGGAATTATGTATAATAGATTTCTGCGACATTTCTTAGTTTGATAAAACGAAATTTCATAGAAACATTTTACTAGGTTAGGTTTGGTTACTTCGATTACTAACCTTTCAAAGCTCTTTGAACTTCGCCTTTTACCCCTACCCAAGATCATCAATTGCTTTGCTTACATATTAAAGAAAAGTTCTCAGTAATTGTGAGACTTTGACGGAGAATACAGAAATAACAATCAAGCGAAATATTACAGTTGATACAATCTTCCATGGATTGTAATAAAACAAACCTTAGATAATAGATAGTGTACTATTCCTGCACTTAGATCAACTGATTATTTTAATCGGAAATCAACTGGAAATCAAATAGCGAAGAAAGCGTAATTAAAAATTTCAAACGTGAAAAATTATGAGGTTCTTTAAATCTTTTTATGAATGAATTTTTCATTGATTTCGATGACGCAATAAGTCTATTTCATATTTAGATGCAAGAATTGTGGAAGGAATTTTTCAGATTATTGTGAATCCGGAAGTTTATTGGATTTAAATTGTAGACTGAGTTATCAGAGACTGTAAAGATTCGTATTTATCGAATTTAATCCGTGTCTCCTATACTGTGACCTACGAACCTTTAGTGATCAACCAGTGTTCCTTACAGTTTTAAATTAAGTTTCCGACGTAATCAACTGCATGGCAGGTCCTTAAATTAAACAACTGCGATGCAACGAACTCCCAATAGCGGAGACGAACCAGAAGCACAATCATGATAACTTGGCGCCGTGTGCATGCCTAAAAAAATATAACTCAGTACTCACTGCAGTGAGTGACAGAGCGCATTTTCTCGTGGACGAAAACACGGACGGACGGACGGACGGACAGATGGACGGACATGACGAGCGCAATAAGGCATTTTTTCCAT